AGGCTTGCCTCCAGGACAACTGGGACAGAAGTATTTTCTCAATAGAGGTCCCTCTTCCCAGACACTCTACCCTGTGTCCAGCTGACACGGGAAGAGGACAGGGACCTTGTGCCTGCTCTCTCCTCTCTTGGAGATGTTGATGGAACTTCTGGTCTTTCCTGTGCCTTTGCTCCCCTTCCTCCAAGGAGGGGGATCACCTTACGGCTGAGAGCTCTCATTCAGGCCACAGATGCTGGCATGGACTGTGTTCCCTGCATCAAAGGCCACTCTCCTAATGCTGCTCCCTGGACAGTCCTCCTGAGTAGGGAGAACTGCCATTCCTTTTCTTGTTCTACCGACAATCGGGTGAGGAAGGTAGGCTATGGTCCTGGTGAGTGGAAGGTCAGATAGGTGGCGTTAGATGTTCTGAGGCCAGGTTACTCGGCTGCTCATCCTCCTGTGGCTGAGAACGTGAATCTCATGACAGATTTGGGCTAGGAGGAGGAAGCCTGCGTTCTTAGGAAGCAATCTGCAGACACAATCCCTCCAAATGACACCAAGCCACTGGCACATAAGAGAGCCCTTCCCCACTGCAGGACAAGGTGCTTGAGAAACCTGCAGGACGGTACATTAGGAGGATGCCTTTGGGCCCAGCTTTGTGATCTACAGTAACTTCTTATACTTGAGTGTGTAAGTCAGCAATGCTTAGCTGAATCCAGTGAGCCACAGAACCCTTTGAAAAGGTGGCAAGGTGCATGCAGCTGCAGATATTGCAGGGTCTTCGTTGCAGCATCAGATCTGCTTGGCCAACTTCACTAATTTGTGAACTTTGCTCTGTCAAGTCTGTCCTAACCAAGACAGACGAGTATCAACCAGTGTCTCCCCCACCCATTCCCTACCCTTTATTAGTTGCAAAAGAGGGAAATGGATACTGACACATCACAGTCCCTAGTCTCATTATCCCTCTCCTAACCCTAAACCCGTCTGGAAGGAGTATGGAGAAGCAGGCCCAAGCTGAATCACTGGGGCTGCAGGCAATAACAATTTCCATGTGAGATTTTATTCACCAATTCAAGTTTAAATTATTAGAAAAAGGGTGGCTTGTGTTGTTTTTATTAAAATTAAATTTTCATAAAATATATTTTTCTTTCTCTATTTTTATTTAAATTATAATCAAGCTTGTTTTACATGTCAATCGAAGTTCCCTCTCCCTCCTCTCCTCCCCTGCCCCCCACTAACCCCCCATCCCATGCCCTTTCTGCTCCCCAGGAAGCATGAGGCCTTCCATGGGCGATCTTCACATAAATCTATTCTGATGATCTTTTCCTCCCAGATCCTCCCCACTTCCCCACATCCTACCCCACCCCTTCTCTCTCTCTCTCTTTAGAAAGCAAACATAGGAAAACCAAACAAATCAGAAATTTAAGAAAACAAAACACAAGAAACATACATATACACACACACACACACAACCCATAAAGACGGAAAACTGGAAACTATAATATACAAACAAAAGACCAGCAAGGTTTTTTTAAAAACATGTCCAAACAAACCAATATGAGAGTAAAAACAATTCTACAAAATTACTATTGTTTGTTTTCTGTTGGCCACCTACTGCTCAGCATGGAACCTACTCTTACACATGGTTTATATACCCACTGAGACTGCTTTGGAGAAAACCAATTTTTCCTTTGTAAGCAATTGTCAGTTGGGGATAGCTTCTTGGTTAGAGGTAGAGGCTCCTGTTCACGTCCCCCTCTCAGCCCCAGGACCCCACCAGGCTTGAACCTGCGCAGGTCCTGTGCATGTCGCCATGGTCTGTGAGTTCATATATGTGTCAGTCCTGTTTTGCCTCTGGATTTTTACCTGTCTCTATTCTATATAGCTTCCTTTATTTTTTACTCCATAGTTGACTATGTAGCTAGATGGCTGGGTGACTGGTCCCTGGCATCCTCCTCATCCTTCACTCCTCCCTCTTCTTCTGGAGCCTACGTTTATCTTCCTATTTATTCTCTCTGCCTGGCAGCCCCACCTATTCCTCTCCTGCCTAGCTATTAGCCATTCAGTTCTTTTGTTAGACCAATCTGGTGTCTTAGAGAGGCACAGTAACACAGCTTCACAGAATTAAACAAATGCAACATAAAAGAATACAACACAACTTTGCATCATTAAATATTCCACAGCATAAACAAATGCAACACATCTTAAACTAATATTCTGCAACACTACTCTGTAGGGGTGAAGGCTCTAGTTAGGCACCAGCTCAATTTCTCCATTTTCAATGACATATGTAAGTGTTGTCTTCAGCAGTGGGACCTTACCATCAGTTGGTGACTATTTTAAATAATAAAAGCCCATTGTGCTTTTCTGGCAACTAACTTTCCATTTCTCTACAACTTTGGGACACTAATGTTATCAAGTTCCAACACTGGCCATCACACTAGTCTTCTAATCCTAATCGTACATCTGTTTATACTTTATGTTAATGAATTAAAAAATAAAATGTAATGAGAATGAATAAAGCATAAGGAAGGCTTGTAGCTGTGACTCAACTCTGAGAGATGATAGTTTCTCAGACTGGAGCATTGTACCAGTGTGAGAAACTGGGGGTTTTTTGTTTTGTTTTGTTTCATTTTGTTTTTTAAGCATTTTTTTCTGAATCTTCCCATCCCCCTTTGCAAGGATTAGCCAATCATGTCAAACTGTAAAGTTGAGCTCCCACCAATAGGATGAGGCACGGGCACCACTTATGTCAGGGATAAAAGCCCGGACCATCTTAGTGCCTTAGGTTCTAGCCCCTGAGTTCTGACACACCCTTTCTGTTACAAAAATTGTATTGCAGAGCTGAAGCACTAAGCCTATTCATTGTTTCTAACACCCAAATGGGTTCTGAGTTCAGATCTGGGTTCAGAGTGAAGGGTGTTAATATTATAAAAGGTCATGAGCATGAGTATTGGACATATTTCATGTTTTGAGAACACATGCACACACATGTTCATCTGAGTGCACATGATGTGTGCATGTGCATAAGAGACCAGAGGTCAACTTTGGGTGTGGTTTCTCATAACCCTTTCACCTAGTTTTTCACATTGGCCTGGAACTCACTGAGTAGCCTAGGCTTGTTGGTCAGTGAGTTCCAGGGACCCACCTGCCTCTACCTCCCCAGCACCATGCTCAGGGTTTTTGATGTAGGTTCTGGGGGTTAAACTTGGGTTCTCATGCTTACATGGCAAGCTTATTAACTAATATACTATCTCCTTAGCCCCTAGAGTTTTACCCTTGAGTCCAAAAGGACAATTTGCAAGTACATTGGTGGAAAGTCATTACAAAGATAAATATGATGAGTACTACAAGCTCATGATGAACAAGCAACATGAGTCATTATCTAAGAGGGTAGTGCAGATAGGCTCATTCTGCCCAAAGCCAAGATATTGTCTGTTCTCTGCTGGTAGGGTTGTAGCAATTGTTGGGTTCTACTCCAGATACCTTCATAGGAAAGAAGCGTTCGTCAACAGGCTGGGGAGGCTTTGTGTCCATGTCTTATAAGAATAGTAATGATGTCTAGACTGGTGGAGAGAAAATGTCACTAAATCCTGGGTCTTCCCCTGTGCAGTAATCTAGTGTTCCTATTGTCCCCAAGGTGGGTCACCTGAAGATTCTTCAAACTATTACTTTATCTAATTAAATAACTCACAAGAGTTCTCTGGTATATTTTCCTGTCTGTCTCTTCTGTGATGTGCTGGTTTTAAAAAGATATCAAGCTTGTGTGACAAGATCAATTATCATTTATTAAAGCTGAGTGTAATTAATCACACAACAGTGAGATGATCTTGTTTAATTCCTGAAGTTGGGAGACTATGTCATTCCTGACAGAAGAAAATGAATACAAATACACTTTCCAAACTTAGCTATGCATTTGAACCACAAACAAATAATTATTCACCAAGCTAGTGTTTAATTAGAAATTCAGTGGCTCCTTACAAGATTAATGATGTTGTAACCCACTATCAAAAGTCACAGGTAAGTCTGTTCTGGCTTTATAGTTGTTGCTATTTTTGAGAGGAGAGAGAAAGAGAAAAAAACATGAAGGTGGGTAAGTGAGGAAGTGGAGAGGATCTGGAAGGAGTTGGGGAAGGGGGAAAACATCATCAAAATATATTGTGTGGGTGGACAACGACTCACACTAAGAATGCCGGGAAAAGGTAGTAGGATATTTATTCAGATAGAGACTCGCACTAAGAATGCCGGGAAAAGGTAGTAGGATATTTATTCAGATAGAGACTCACACTAAGAATGCCGGGAAAAGGTAGTAGGATATTTATTCAGATAGAGACTCACACTAAGAATGCCTGGAAAAGGTAGTAGGATATTTATTCAGATAGAGACTCACACTAAGAATGCCGGGAAAAGGTAGTAGGATATTTATTCAGATAGAGACTCGCACTAAGAATGCCGGGAAAAGGTAGTAGGATATTTATTCAGATAGAGACTCGCACTAAGAATGCCGGGAAAAGGTAGTAGGATATTAATTCAGATAGAGACTCGCACTAAGAATGCCGGGAAAAGGTAGTAGGATATTAATTCAGATAGAGACTCACACTAAGAATGCCGGGAAAAGGTAGTAGGATATTTATTCAGATAGAGACTCACACTAAGAATGCCGGGAAAAGGTAGTAGGATATTAATTCAGATAGAGACTCACACTAAGAATGCCGGGAAAAGGTAGTAGGATATTTATTCAGATAGAGACTCGCACTAAGAATGCCGGGAAAAGGTAGTAGGATATTTATTCAGATAGAGACTCGCACTAAGAATGCCGGGAAAAGGTAGTAGGATATTTATTCAGATAGACACTCGCACTAAGAATGCCGGGAAAAGGTAGTAGGATATTTATTCAGATAGAGACTCACACTAAGAATGCCGGGAAAAGGTAGTAGGATATTTATTCAGATAGAGACTCGCACTAAGAATGCCGGGAAAAGGTAGTAGGATATTTATTCAGATAGAGAGAAGTAACTTACACGAAAAATTGGGAAGCTGGGAAGCTCTCTGAAACGTGGTCAGCATCCAAGAGATAGATTTACTATCTCTTTTTCCTTTTATTTTTCTTCTGTCCCATGTACCATATCTTGGGTATATAAGCTCTTCCCTATAACTCCCCTTTTAGTCTAAAGAGAAGATTTAGACTTGATACAAAACTCAAACATATACAGCATATATACATAGAAGACGATAAGCAAATTATAATCTACTTATATCCTACCCTAAGTATATCTATCCCATCTAAACCTAAGCTTATTTGAAAGAGATGCCCAAGTTTGAACACCTCCTTCCAATTCCGACCCTAAATAATTGAAAACTAACCCTGACAGGTGTAAATTATCCTATATTATCAACCGTAGGGAAAATTACTTTTGCTGAAATGGGACAACGACAATCTCATGGGAACCTGTAGGAAGAAAATGTTAGTGTAATGAACCACATCCCTAGCCCCAAAGTGAGAGATTCTATTTCATATAATATTTGATCCTAATTTTTAAACAATGGGAGTGTGGGGGACAGGAAACACAGTGTGGTTTCATTTTGACAGTGGAAGCAACAGCAAAAGAATTAATATATTTTATATGGATGCTACTTTCATTCTCAAAAAAAGTTATAGATCTACTTGCCATAAAAACATGGCAGAAAATAAATCACTAGTCATGTCTTTGTAAAAAAAAAAAACAAAAAAGCTCTGGCAAACTAAATAAAAACTGCCTCAACAAGACATCGGGTTGGGACCACCAAAAAGATTATGCTCTTATACATATGGCTTGAAGTGCTTTTTAATTATCGGCTTTGCAGTGCACAGAGAATTTTAATAGCACTCATCTTATTGGCTCTTCCCCAAGCTTAAATGGGTTGCATGTTTTCATCCTTTAACGCAGAAACACCTACCAACATTTTCCTCCCAAATGAACCCACTGCTTTTCAGCTCATAAACTTTCCACACATATCTTCCCTTGTTTTTGGTAACAAATCGCTTCATCTAGAATTAATTTAAGAAATAATGGGAGGTGAAGACCTATCTTCATTTTTCCCATGCAGTTAATCCATCAGTTCAAAACAATTCATTGAGCATTCCTTCTACCTTGCATTTGTTTCATGCATGAAAATGCATTCTTGAATATGTATGCTCATTTCTAAGCTACTTCTACTGAATCTGTTCTTCAAATCTTTTTCTCAGCCCCACACTCTTCTAATATTTTAGTTTTCTGTTATTTTTTATAACAAATACTGAAAGTAGTCCATTTGTTCTAGTCTTTAAAAACATAACTGTCTCTAGATAGTCTCATTGGTTAACTTTTCCAGAGGAAATTTAGAGTGCCTTTGTTACTATGTCCCTAGGGCTCTAGGGCAAGAAATGGGCAACAGGGGAGCGAATGAGACCCTTCAACCTTCCCTTGGTTGAACCTCACTGCTCATTTGTGTGAAACAAGCATGTCCGTGAGTTATTTCCCTCAACCCCACTTTGCCATGCCTACCATTTCTGGAAGTCTGTATTATTTTCAGAATCTTTTCTCACATGGAGCTGAATTTAGTGGGATAAGTTTTCTAACTAAAGCTCAGCTCGGCCTGCGTAGATCTGGACTATCCCCAAAAGATCCAAAAGAGGCTTGGTTCTGAGTGTGATGCCTTTGGAAGGCGATGGAAACTTTCAGATACGCAGCCTGACTGGAGGGTTTCCATCATGGGAGACCTGTCCTCCCCGGGACTGTGGAACCTTGCTCCCTCCCCCTTCTCTCCTCATCCAGCCGTGAAGTGAGCAGTGTGGTTCTTCCATGTGCTCCCCTGCCATGAGCTGCCTTGTCACAGGGCCAATTGGTCATGCCTGAACCCTCCAAAACCATGGGCCGAAATAGCCCTCTCATCTTACAAGCTGCTTACCTGTGGTGTTCTTTACGGTAGAGGAAACTGGTTTACACGAGCCATTGGAAGGGGAGTGAGGAAGCAGGCAGGAAGGGGAAGGGTGGTAATAAGCACACAGGAGCTTCTGGGTATAGGCACAGCATAATCACAATGCCTGTGATGCTTCTGGTGGTGGCAAAGTCACACAGAAATTTAAAGGGGAAGCATTTGGAGACATACCTTTTAGGTGAACTATTTTACTATAACAACCAGGTGGCCCCAGTTTGGTGGGGGGGGGCAGACACATTCAGTTAAACAGACTTCAACACCGATAATGGAGCCATTTTGGTTTGGATTTTAATGTAAAGTTAGAAGGAATAGATTATCTGACGTTGTGTGAGCCTGAAGAGCTTGCACGCATTAGCCAGCACTGGCAAAATCCCAGTTTAACAGGAAAAGAGTGACTTAGGATACAATATTCTTGTGTTCTAATCCTGGATCTTCTTGATACTATTCTACAGCTTTGAGAAAATTTATGTAATAGGTCTGTGTCTCAGTTTCCGTAAGCAGTGCTGGGAAACTGAAATTTACCTTGTATGATTCAAAGATTACTAACAGCGCATACAAAGTCACTCGGTCATCTCCCAGTAAACACCAACTACTAACACCACAAGAAGAATCAAGTATTGTTTCTACTCTAAGAATTGACACAGAGAAATATGAGGGTATGAACTCAGCTGAACGGAAGGAAAAGATTCTAGATGATTCCCTATTTTACATAATCTCTTCTTAGAAAACCAATTTCTTGCTTCTGTTCAGAAAGGCATCCAAAGGTGTCCATGCATTACAGCTCAGACTTAACAGATGGTGGGAACTTACCCCTGCCCTGAGCTGGCATACACAGAGCTGGTCTACTAAAACCTGAGAAAGCAAATGACCCCTCGGTTTGTCAGCTATCAGGGTTCAATGGCCACTTCCCAAGCTCCCAGTCACAGTCCACAGAAACAAGAGAGAGGCAAAAAATTGTGCAATCAATACAGGTAGCAAGTGAATCATCCACAAGTAGTCTCTTAAAAAGTGTCCCTAAGAATAGTAATGACTGCCATGTATGTGTCAGATACCCTGCCTGACACTGTGTCCTCATATTAATTGTCACAATAACCCGGTGAGATAGATCTCAGTATCATCATTTTATAAAGTAGACAGTGAGGCTGAGAGACATTCAAAGTAACTGCCTAATGCCTCACAGCTAGGAAGAATCACAGACAGGATTTGAACCCAGGTCTATCTGACTCCAAAACTCAACCCCACTCTCCCACAGCATGCTGGCTCTCCAGGAGTCCACAGATGAATCGGGATACTCTCTGCACCGTGTAGAGAATCTGACCTGGACCCTGATCTCAGGGGTACCTTTGAGAATATTCATTTGGCAAGCAGTTATGTCTAGATTTAGAGTCCACCCTTGTCCATCCCATTTCTCTGCTGTTAGATGCCTCCTTGAAGTATTTCCAGTGGAGGGAACAGGCCGGAAGCAGGGTGCCTGCACTTCCTCTCTGTTTCTCATTTAGGTCACATGGCTCAACACTTCTCCTTTACTCTAGCCATAAGCAATTTGTTCCTTTAGCATAAGAATTCTATTGGCAGTTTTCTCAGCCCAGCCTCTCCCCTCCCCAGGACCCAGCGACGCTGGAAGAAAAGGACCACCTTCGCCAAGATTTGACAGCCCCTTCTTCCCTGTTTCTAGCCCTATGGGTGGCAGCTGCTTCCTGCAGCTGCCGCTCCACGGTTCCTTTGCTAGCTGAAAGCCCTTCTGTTTTTTAAAACCAGGGTAAGAATCATTTGTGTTCATTTTCCCTTTAAATGGCTAGCTTGGTTTCTCTCTTCTGATAGGACCGTGGCTGATAGAAATGGTCATTTACTATAATGTTCTTCAACATAAGGAAGCTGAGGCCCAGAGAAGTGATAAGACTTGCTTGAGCTTGAACAGCCGGTATTCACATTTAAGATGTTTCTACCCCACTTAGAAATGTGCTACAACACAGTGAGCCACATGCTACCAACCCTATGAAACAACTGTAGAAACCAGGGCTACCATCTATTCACTGATATGACATTTCAATTCAGAGGTTTGCACTGTCATCCCTGGGACAGATGTGGTAAACAAGGCACAAACATTGTATGATTTTCTTGATGTCACCTATCTAAGGAGTAACAGGCACATTTTCGTCTGAATTAACCCAACTATAAACCAGGGCTGTTAGCCATTACTCTGTACTTGGGTCTGTGTCTAACCAAGCCTGAGAGAGCTCAAGGCTCTCTACTGTCCTCTTAGAACTACTCACTCTTGTTTTACTTAGTTTGGTTGGGTTTTGAGACAGGGTCTTGTGCATATTTATAGCCCAAGCCCAGGATAACATTGAAGCCTTATCCTCCTTGCTCTACTTCCCAAGAGCTGGGATTATAGGTGTGAGTCACCATTCTTGGTTTTATGTGATTCGGAGGCCAAGCCCAGAGCTTCATACAGCCTTAGCGAAGCTATCTGCCAACTGAGCTCCATCACCAGCCCAAGGGCCGCTCACTCCAGAAGCCAGTAACGTTTCTTTTCTTTGCACTCCTGACTCAAAACAAACTCCTACATGTTGTCCCACCTACTAACATTTCCTTATCCAGGAAATCCAAAGAGAAGAAATCGGCTATCTTAACATCACTGTTTGTCTTCCAAGCTTTCTGGGAAGCTTCCTGACTGAAGCCCTCTCTCAGCCAATCCAGTGGGATTCACACAGGAAGCCGCAGACTCCGAAGAAGCTGGGAAGAAGAAATCTCAGTTATGAAAGCTAGAAATGCGTTTCATATGCCTCCCGTAGATAGGGCTGAACAATGAGATGGTCCCAATATGTTGTTTACTAGTCATCAAAAACTACAAAGTTCTACTTCAGGAACAGGTCTCTCTATTACCTGTTGACAGGTGGAGCCCAATTAGGAGCTGCCAGTGAGCTGGGTTTGGAGTGCAACCACTCCCTGCCTAGGAGCTCTGCTGCTCCCAGCCAGGCTGCACTCAGTTAATCATGAAAGAACTGGATGGCTCCCAGGCCAGATACTACAGGACCACGGCAGGAGGAGGGGCTGCTTGCTATCTGCTAATGACTGAACTTGCGTCCCCTGCAAGCTCTGGCTGGGCAATGGCCTGGTTTTCAGGATACATCCTCAGAGGGATTCTCATTTGTTCGAGGATTCATGTTAAGTCAGGACGCAGCAAAGCATGCAGGAGGTATGGCGAGCATCTGAGGGTCTAGCCTACCTACAAATCCAGAAGTAGAGAACATAATGAGGGAAAGAAGTGGGATTTTGTGCATCCAAGCCTCGGTGGGCAGCTCCCCTGAACCCCTGAAAGGTGGGCTGCTGTTACGTGATACTGACTGGGTACCAGACACTGACAGCTTTGCCTTGTTCCTATCAGTGGGCATTTGCTGAGCAGTTATTATGTACACATGCTTTACCAAATAGAAAGGACTTGTACCCCAAGGAAGTGGCCTTCTGGGCTCATGTGTGACTTCATGTTTCTCTCAGCACCCTGGTTCTCACAGGTTTCCTCAATGCCTTAAAGCAGGATACAGTCCAGTTTACCAGAAAGAATACTGGGCAAGTCAGTGCCACATCTAGACTCTAACCTTCAGCCCATGTAGGCAAGTGACTTTACCACACAGCTCAGTTTTCTCACACAGAAAAGGCATCTAACAGTTGAGATCCAGTAAGGCGCTGGAGAGGTGGCTTAGTGGTGGCAGCACATGCTGCTCTTGCAGAGGCCTGGAATTCCGTTGCCAGCACTCACTTTGGGTGAATCACAACTGTAACTCCAGCTCCAAGGGATTGAGAACCTCTTCTGGCTACCCAAGGCATAACACCCACATACACAGATACACACACATAAAATTTTTAAATATTTTATAATAGTTTAAAAGATCAAACAAAACAAATCTAAAAGTGGTTACTATTGAAATTTGGGGGTCGGAGGAGGAAAAAACTATATCTTAGTAATTGCAATTGCCTGGAGATTAAGACATTGATGGGGGAAGTCCTGTGTATATGTCAATAAAGCACTGTTGGCCAATAGGGAAGCAAGATAGGTGGGACTAGGAGTCGAGGAGGACTCTGGGTAGGAGAAACACGGGAAGTCAAGATGTAGCTACCATAGGGGTCAGAAGTCTGGACCCCTTTCTCCGGTAAGAGAAATACTTAGACGGGTTAAATACTTAAGTCAGAGCTAGCCAGTAAGAAACAAGCAAGGCCAACAGCTTCATAATTAATATAGCCTCCTGTGTGTTTATTTGGGACTGATGCGGCTCTGGAACCAGGCTGGCGGGAAGGCTTCTCTTTACAAGACATGAAAACACTGATAGACAAATCAGCCCGCAGCAACAGAGGAGTGTATCTTTCAAGGACTGCCTTAATCACTTGGCATCCACCTTGATCAGTGCCCAGCCCCCAAGTGCAGAACAGCACCATCCCCATCCTCCAGCTTCACTGGATCCTAGCAACGGAGGCCCTCTCAGCACGCCCCATGCAGTCTGTCCACAGAACCGGGACTCCACCTCCTTCCAGGCTCTGCTTCAGCACATTGGAGGGCGCGATGCTTTTGTCAGTGTGCACACCACATCTTCTTAACGCTGATGAACAGAAACACAGAGCAAGACCTCCACGTCTGCCTCTTGTTGGTGTCAGTCCATCAGCTACCTGGATTCCCGGCCCCTCTCATCCAGGCCAGCCTTGAGCCCAGCTCTTCATCCTACTCGCCTTCCTGGGAACCCCTACCAACTGCTTTGGGCTTTACAAGGCACTTTCCTTATCGTCGACTATTAGAAAATGGCATTTCAAGGAGAAGGAAAAACCTGCTTCCTGATGTCGCTGGGGCCCTCTTTACAGAAATGAGTTCTTCACCTTGACTATCCAGAAGTTGACATTGGTGTGAAAATAACCGTGACCTTTTCCGCCAGACCCCCAGAGAGGAAATACTAAAAATATATGTATGTCTTCAGGCACCAGGAGCCAGTGCTGACACTATGAATAGCCCTCTGCTCCCGGGAGATTCAGGCAAGCAACTTGAAGGGACCTGAAGGCCTGTTTGCATCCAGGGTGT